GGTGGGGCGCCTGGGTGGCTCAGCGGGTTAAGCCTCTGCCTTCGGCTCAGGTCATGATCTCAGGGTCCTGGAATCGAGCCCCACATCAGGCTCTCTGCTCAGCAGGGAGCCTGCTTCCTTCTCTGTCTCTGCCTACATCTCTGCCTACTTGTGATCTCTGTCTGTCAAATAAAAAAATAAAAAAATATAAAAATATAAAAAAAATATAGAGGTAGATAAAAAGAGTCAGCCAGAAGAATTGAAAGTGGGGGACTTTGGATAAGGGAAAATGAGGAGAGGAGGCTGCTATTTGCCTTAGTAAATTTGTGGATCTAGTTGACTCTTTTAATTATACAAAATCAAAACCTAGAGAAAATAGAGCATCCCTACATTTGAATCATTTTTAGTCAATACATAGCAAAGTATACTTGCAGTACTGTGTACTTGCAAAGTATAGTTGCAGTATAGTCAAGACGTGACAGTGCCTGTTATTGAAATCATTTTGGAAATCCAATAAGCAGCATACCTTTCCTTGCCACATTCTGAACAGATTATGAAATGAAGCCACTAAGTAGCGTGAGAAGGCTGAAATAATTTTATTACCCTTAAAAGATTAAGTTGGAGATTACAGCCTTGGACAAGAACCAAATGGGTCTGATTCACTGCACCCCAAAATTAAATAAACTTACTACTCCACAGACAAATATTGTGATGGAACCCCACATCAGGCTCCCTGCTCGGCGGGAAGCCTACTTCTTCCTCTCCCACTCCCCCACTTGTTCCCTCTCTACTCTGCCTCTTTCTGTCTAATAAATAAATACAATTTTTTAAAATAAACAAAAAGATTTGATAGAGCATAAGGAGGAGGAGCAACAGGCAGAGGGACAGGGAGAAGCAGGCTCCCCACAGAACAGGGAGCCCTTGTGGGGCTAGCTCCCAGGACCCTGAGATCATGACCCAAGCCGAAACCACCTGGGTGACTGAGCCACCCAGGCACCCCAGAGTAGCTCTTTTTAATGTAATCCATATATGAAGAAGTTCCAGATAATTTGTTCTTTGTGGAAAACGAAACCTGAAACTACTTTTGAATATTACTCAGAGGTCTATTTTCTTAAAGAGTTAAATAATGTAGTAAACCAGAGTATCACAATTATATCCTGTTTTTAACCTTCACTAGATTTTGCAGAAAGTAATGAATTCCTGCTTTTGCTATATGCAAAGTCTTGTATAGATACAACAGAACTTAATATAATCCTTTCTATACAGAAGCTTAGGATCAGGGAGGAATGGACATGACAAATAAACAAGAACAGTACAAAGCATTACATAGAGGTACCATAAGAAAATTCTTAGTACTTAAAGGGAATTTAAAGAAAGGAGAGCATATTCAGTTTTTGAAGGGAAATAGACCAGAAGTTGAAGTGGCTTTTACAAGTGCCATTTTGGGAATATCTTATTTTTTTTTTCCTTAATATTTAGTCTTGATTGGAGGTGCCTGGGTGGCTCAGTCCCCTGAATGTGTCTGCCTTTGGCTCTGATCATGATCCCAGAGTCCTGGGATTGAACTCTGGTTGTGCCCCCTCTTGCTCACTCTTTTGCTCTCTTTGTCAAATAAATCAATCTTTAAAAAAAAAAAAATTTAGTCTTGATTGAATCTGAGAATTTAGGATATCAGTATTACTGTAACTTATTATCATTACAAAATAAGTCTGTCCATTATAGAAAATTTAAGAAATTCATAGAAGTATAAAAAATACAAAAGCAATCTATCATATTTCTCAGATAATCACACCTTCATATTTTTGTTTTATCGTTCAAGTTGTATTTTCTTGAAATAAAATTGAGACCATACTTAGTATATACTGTCTTTAAGTATATACTGTTCCTTTTATTTAACACGATAGCATGTAGAGCATGAATACAAGTTAGTCCATTCCCTGTTATTGGCTAAGGTGAACATTATTTTCTATGTCTTTTTCTGTAGTCTCTGATTATGTCCTTAGGTCACCTTTTTAGAATTTGTTTTCTTGGGACATTTTTAAATCTCTTAAGAGTTGTTTTTTTTAAGACTCAATAAATCTTTGTTAAAGGATGTGTATATTTATTGGGTGATAGTATTTATTTGCATTTATTAAATAAGTCTTCCCTTCGTTTTCTTCCCTGGCTTTGCATATACTCAGACCAAGAAGAATTGTGGTTCTCTGTTTCACCAAAACATTTTAAATCTCTTTTATTCTTCGTTTATCATTTGAAATTTCGTGTGTATCTGTGTTTTATTTTTAACCTTGAACATTTCTGATACTTAATTTTGAGGCATACAGTAAAAAGGTCATTTTTTTTTAATGTCGTTTCTTTTTGGAAAGTAGCCTTACCTTCAGTTTGATTTCTGTATTTTTCAGGGTTACTTTGAAAGTTGCAACATACACAGAAACAGAATAGCAGGCTTTGAAGTAAAAGCCTATGCTAACCCCACAGTGGTTCGATGTGAAATTCATCATGGGCAGACTGGAGGAATATATGTGCATGAAAAAGGAAGAGGACAATTCATAGAGAATAAAATCTATGCAAACAACTTTGCAGGTGTATGGATTACCTCAAATAGTGACCCAACAATAAGGTAATTATATATAACTATGGATGGAAATTACTTTTTTACTTTTTATGTTATATGAAAAGTCAACCTTTAACTCTTACTGTTTTTCCTAGACACCTGACCACTGCAAAATAGATCTTCCTAGTAAATGTCTATGCGTCTGAATGAGCAAAGCTGTTGTATTTATTTTTGGGTGTTCTGTTTGTTTTCTAGTGATCTAAGTCATGCATAATATTCTTTTATGAACAGTTGCAAATGTTATGATTTTAAGTTTATCAAACTGCATTATAAATGAGTGTATAGGGCCATGTTCTTTTCTTGGAACCTGAATGACCTTGTCTTCTCTTTTTTTTGTCTGAGAGTCTGCAGATAGCATAACTCAGGAAAGTAATTAACTCAAAGATTCTTGGACAGAGAGATCAAAAATAACAAAAAGTCAGAACTTCAGGCCATCACTTTTCTTTAGTAGTTCCTACCATTCCCTCTGGCTGCATTAGTAAGGAAACAAACAGATCCAGTCTGAAAGGCGTTGGCTAAGACTATAGAACCAGAACTATTATAATTTAATCAGTAACAAGGAATTAATTTTAATTGCCAAGTTTTATTTTCCACTGGCTTTATGAAAGTAGATTATGAGATTTCCATCTTGTTAATATTCAGCATATGTGTCTAGACCAGCTAAAAAAAAGTTCTAAATGTATCAGCTATTTTGAGGGGAATTTTTAAGAATGTTACTTTGTCTCAAATACTAGGTGGCTCTTTTGTTAGGTCTTAGAAAGAAAACAAAGGAACTTAGAAATTATCTAGTCTGAGTCCCTTGTTTTTACAGATTAGGAAACTGTGACCCCTAGAAGGTAAATAATTTTTTAAGGTACCATGAGTATGAGTGGCCCTGTAGTTGATTGTGTTAAACAAATAAGCTTTTACTGAATAGAGATTTATTTTTTATTATTTACCATAATTATAGGGGGAATTCTATATTTAATGGAAATCAAGGGGGAGTTTACATCTTTGGTGATGGACGAGGCCTTATTGAAGGAAATGACATTTATGGTAAGAATGTTTTGTTCTATAAAATTTTGGAGCTTGGCCTCTCTTCCTGTCATTAGCAAAATATACCACTTTGAAACCCTCCAAGAAGTGGTGATACAATTTCTTTAAATTCTCAGTAAAGATTACTTGTGATGTTTATTTACTTGTTAGTCATTATTCACTTAACATTTACTGGGTACCCAGTATTTACCAGGAACTATACTAGATACCAGTCATGAAAATACAAATAAGACCTTAGTCTGAAGGGAGTATGCAGTTTCCTTAGATTCACTCTTTTTTCACTTTGGTACTAATTGTAAATGTGGGGGTGGAGGTGCCTGGGTGGCTCAGTTGATTAAATGTCTGCCTTTGGCTCAGGTCATGATCCTTGAGTCCCGGGATCAAGCCCCACAGTGAGCTCCGTGCTCGGTGGGGAGTCTGCTTCTCACTCTCTCGCTCTCAAATAAATAAGTAAAATCTAAAAAAAAAAAAATATATATATATATATATATATATATATATAAAGGGTAAATACTTACTCCTCATTAAAACTTTTTGAGATACAAATTCAGTAGACCACTTGATGTGTGTGTGCTAGACACGGATATGTTCCTGGGCTTTCTCTTTTGCTGCTACTTAACTGGATAGTATTTACATAAACCTTATGAAGTAGACACTGTTAAATATCCCCACTTACTGATCAGGAAACAAAGATACAATGAGGTTAAATAACTTAAAGTCACACAGGAAGGTAGAATTCCCGGGGTTCCTTACTTGGCAGCCTGGCTTCAGAGTCTCTACTCCAAACTATTATGTCTATACTGCCTACAGTTTTTCTTTTTATACTCCTAGTTCCCTTAGTTTTGTTTTTTAATGCTCTCAAACCATAAATATCTTTCTGAACATGACATATTTCACAAAATCATGCTTTTCCTAAAATTCTAAAAATTTTGACTACATGTAATGATGTAAAATTCTTACTGTGTTCCATGAGGCTCCATATGTTGACATTGTAACTTTTATTTTTAAATAGGCAATGCATTAGCAGGAATTCAGATTAGGACAAACAGTTGTCCAATTGTTCGACATAACAAAATTCATGATGGCCAACATGGTGGGATTTATGTGGTAAGTCAATGAATATAGTTCTAGAATGTCATGCCTCAAAACCAGAGAGAGAGGATGGAAGAGGATAGAATTATATCTAGCCTTGAGTAGGCCATATTTAGCTTACAGGTATGAGTTTATGACTGTCTTTAATATTTATACAATAAATAACACTCTTGTTCTCCCTGCCAGTATATGAATGACTTACATAGTATGTGTAGTGTTCTGTAAAATTCAATCAACTGAGTTTAGACATAGAGAATATACCTTTTTTTATTAAAGTCTTTAATTATAATTGGTATTATGGGCTGACCTCTCAAAACCATCGATTGGCTGAGTTCTACTTTTACCCTGGAGTTTTGTTGATATGACTATGCTGGGAGTCTGAAATTTTCCAAAAGTAGTAAGTAAATCCATAATATCACTGAAAGTACTAATAATACTAGACTTGAATATTTCTGAATATTTTTGAAAAGTCAGTTTTTCATTTGAATTTATACTAAAACATAATTGAGCATCTTACAAGATTTTCAAACCACGTATTGGTCCTATACCTTCTGTTAGACCATGGTGTATCTGGAACTGTTATAACAGATTCAAGTGAGAAAATGTAGGAAATTTCAGAAAGGTCCTTGTGTAATGCCAGGTATGACTCTAATTTTTATTTTCAGTTTTAAATTTCAGTCTTAAGTCTTCTCAAAATAAAAATAAGTATTTTAGTAACCTGAGACCTTATTTTGAATGATTTCACCAGTAATTTGAAATAGCTGTTAGCGGGCGCCTGGGTGGCTCAGTGGGTTAAAGCCTTTGCCTTCAGCTCAGGTCATGATCTCAGGGTCCTGGGATCGAGGCCCGCATCGGGCTCTCCGCTCAGCAGGGAGCCTGCTTCCCCCTCTCTCTCTGCCTGCCTCTCTGCCTGCTTGTGATCTTTCTCTCTCTCTCTGTCAAATAAATAAAAATCTAAAAAAAAAAAGAAAAGAAATAGCTGTTAGCTTACTAAATGAGAGACCTTCAGTTTGTTATATATCTTAGAATGAAATAAGAAGCTTAAAAGTACAAAATCACATAAAGAACAGTATAAAAACTTACAGAGCTTCGGGGCGCCTGGATGGCTCAGTGGGTTAAAGCCTCTGCCTTCGGCTCAGGTCATGATCCCAGGATCCTGGGATCGAGCCCCGCATCGGGCTGTCTGCTCGGCAGGGAGCCTGCCTCCCCCTCTCTCTGTGCCTGTCTCTCTGCCTACTTGTGATTTCTGTCAAATAAATAAACAAAATCTTTAAAAAAAAAAAAAAAAAAAACTTACAGAGCTTAAACTCAAGTAAAGGCTACACAAAAGCAATGTTACTACCTCATCCAGGTGAAAAAATAAAAACTGAAATTTTTTTATCATAACTGTTTTTAAAGGGGGGAACATACTATAAACTACTTGTTTCTAAAAGCTATATATTGTATCAATGTAATTTTTATTTAGCATGAGAAAGGACAAGGCGTAATAGAAGAGAATGAAGTTTATAGTAATACTCTGGCTGGGGTCTGGGTGACAACGGGCAGCACTCCAGTACTGAGAAGAAACAGGATACATAGTGGAAAGCAGGTAAAATTATTTTGGATTCTTACATGGGAAATAGATTGTTTTATAAACTTTTTTTGTCATTTGAAAAACAATTTTTTTTTAATTTTAGGTTGGTGTTTATTTTTATGACAATGGACATGGAGTGCTAGAGGACAATGATATCTATAATCATATGTATTCAGGGGTTCAGATAAGGTAAACATTTTTCACATTTGGCTTTCTTTTGGGAGGGAATTCGGTGGGAATATGTGGGGTATGTAAAAGAACTTCCCTTGTTTATTTAATGCTCAATTTTTATTCCTCCTTTTGTATATATATTCATGCTCTTATCACATGCTTGGCTTAAATTGTCAGAATATAGCTTTTCTTGAACCAGCTGATGGCAGCCAGTGGCACATATGCCTACCATAGGAACATGTTTCCACTATTCTGTCATCCACTGTAACAGAGTTGCCAGTGTACTCCATCATACTTGGAAAGTAGGCAGCTATATAAAAATACTTGTGAGCTATACCTGGCATGTTGTAGGCACTCAGTAAATGTGAGCTTCTCTTTTTACACTATTTCTGTGAGAGTATTAGTTTTTTACACCCCTCTTTCCTGTATTTTAACAGTTTTAGAAACTGTAGTACTTATAATTCAACCCTTCATTTTATATATGAGGTGAGTATACAATAATAGTGGTCACTTAATCTAACCTCCTCAGTGTAGTTTATATATTAGGAGACTCTATAGTAATAATATAATCTATAACTAAGTGTATTCTGTTGGAAATAGAATTAAACAAAATTACACCAGTGTCTTTACTGACAAATTTCTCAGAGCATCTGGAAAGACACTCCATTGTATACTTATTCTTACTGTGATTAATATAAATTTTTTCACTGTTACCTAACATAACATGGGATATGGGAGTAGAAGCAGTTAAGATGGCATTATTTTCTGTTGTATCCATAGGACTGGAAGCAACCCCAAAATAAGACGCAACAAAATCTGGGGAGGACAAAATGGTGGAATTCTTGTTTATAATTCTGGTATGTTCAGTCTTTCATTTTTTCCTTATTGCTAATTGCCTTTAGAGCTATACTTTCCAAATAACATAACCTAAAATTCTGTACTTGTAGGTCTAGGCTGTATAGAAGACAATGAAATATTTGACAATGCAATGGCTGGAGTCTGGATTAAGACAGATAGTAATCCTACACTAAGAAGAAATAAAATCCATGATGGAAGAGATGGTGGCATCTGTATATTTAATGGGGGTCGAGGTATTGTTAATTTTGCATTAGTAAAAAACCCAATTTTTCATTATTCTTCTTCCATATCTTTAATGATCAGGGACATTGCCAATTAATATAAGCTTTAAGTGAGTGAATCTCAGTCTTTTTCCTTATCTGGTCTTGAGATAGATTAGATTAGTGCCTGGAGATAAAGAAGACAGGTGTTTATACAATTTTTCTTTTCTTTTTGTAGCCATCTTGAGTGTGTTAATTGTTAGGCATTTTTAAGGTGGAATTTGTTTGCATTTTCTCTCTGGACTTTCTTTTATTTAGAATAGTGATATGATTATAATAAACATCAAGGTCCAGTTACAGAACTAGGTTAGAAATTAATTGGCCTGTAACTATATGAAAATGTCTGTAGTAAATAAGTATTGCTTTGTACCTGTTTGCAACTGTTTGTTGGAGAGTGGAATTAATGAAGCCAAGGTGTGTCTGGTTTTGTATACATGAAGGTCAACTCATTTTACATTGAGGCAAAAGTTCCACATCTGCAAATGCATGTTGTTCAGAGAGACTAGGGGAGAATGTCAAATGCAAATTTATCACCGTTCCTGAAATGTCAGTAACCCAGCACTGTACATCTTATATGGAAGGAATAGCCAGTTACTACTACATCATAATCAATGAAATTTACTACTACAGCCAAGCAGTGATGATTCCATTAATGACATAGACTCTGAAAGAGCTCATAATCTAATAATTCAATAAGATGACATATCTGATAGGAGTCTTTACAAGATATAATGAGGAAACACAATACAGTGGATGGTTTTATTTGTAAGGTATTGAAAAAAGGTTCATGGACTAAAATAACTCTTAAGCTGTCTTGAAAAATGAGTATTCACTGGTAAATGTGGGGTGGGGAGGCCATTCCCAGTGTAGAAAAAACAATTCACACTTCCATTTGTTTTGTACTTATTTATTAATTGAACACCTCTATACCAACAACTGATACAGATGCTAAAGATACAATAGTGAATAAAACAGTATAATAAAATACTGTTATATTTTAACAGTATAATAAAACTACATCCCGGAAAGCTTAGAGTCTAATGGCACATTGTAACCAAAAATCTAAAGGAAACCATGTGGTTCTGATTAGTAAGACGCAAAAAGGTACTGAAAGTTGAGGCTAGAGAAGGGGCAGTGCCCAGATTCTAACTTTGTATACGGAATTCAGACTGGATCTTAGCAAAAGCAAAGATTAGAGGTAGGAAGTTGGAGTAGTCTTTTCCAGGGGAATAGCAGTTTAGAGGTCAAAACTGAACTATCACAGGTGGGTTGAATGTCTACAGAAGTAAAAGTTTCATGTTTTCAGAGCAGAAATGCTCATATACAACTAATAATTCACTATACATAAATAGGGTTTATAGGAGTAATATTAGCTAGTTCTTTAATGCAGTGTATGTTTACATGTATTAATTCATTTAATCCTCCTTAAAACCTTGTATGTAGGTGCCGTTATGGCCAGATTAGATAAGGAACTCAGGGAGGTGGTGGAATCTGTATTTGAAGACCTGAAAAGTCTGATTCTTCAGCTCATTTTTAAATCATGTTATACTCTCAGAAGAGAGAATAATAAATTTGGTGGGGAAACTGAAATCTTCCAGAGGAAGTGACATTAGGAAGAAAGAAGGCAGGACATTCCAGGATGAAGAAATAATACAAACCAAAGGCAATAGAGATAAAAATGTGTGTCATATTCAGAGCATAGGTAATGTAGTAAGACAATGGAATAGGTTAGGGGAATATTTTGAAAGGTTTTAAATGGCAACTTAATTTTAAACTTTATTCTGAAAATAGTTTTTAAGCAAAGAAGGAACATGACAGTTGTAGGAAACTGGGAAAAACAGCAGAAGAGAGACTATAGGAAATTATCAAGTAATGATTATAAGAATAATGACCAGAAATAGGGTTTGCATGAAAGCATTGAGGCTGTAATGATTCTAAAAATACTTCAAAGGACCTAATTTTAATTCAGTGTTTGTGAGAAATAGGTGCCAGGCAGCCACCAGGAATTTGTGAGTAAACTAGACATGGTTCCTGGTACCATGGAATTTCCATCTATCTGTTAGAATGGTTACCTGCCATTTTAAGCAGTTCTTGGTTAAATCCTACCTTAAACCCCCCTGAATTACTAATAAACTTTTCAGCTGAGAAATTAGTCCTTTGAGTTTTATACAACACAGTCAATAAGAAACTAAAAACCTGAATACCGCCAAAACTATTAAAATTTGTTATGTGCATAAGCCTTAATCTGAGGAAATATTTTATTATAGGTCTCCTTGAAGAAAATGATATTTTCAGGAATGCTCAAGCAGGTGTTCTCATCAGCACTAATAGTCATCCAGTCTTAAGGAAAAACAGAATATTTGATGGCTTTGCTGCAGGTTTGTATTTTCTTTTGTTACCTGTAGCTTGTTTTCTGTACATTAAAATGTTTGATCTTTAGTATATTAATTCTCTTTTGCTTGATAACTGAAGGGGTGTACTAAGTGTGTTGCAAAATTTGCAATTAACAATGGCTTATAAGAGCACATAATCCAAGTTCTGGATTGTAATGTTCTCAGCCAGACTTTCAAGAAATCTCTCTCTTGCGTTCAGTAGTAATTATGAAACCTTAATTGGGATAGAATGCAGGCTTGTACTACCATTTGGAATACAAATAAATTCAAGCCCTCTGGCCTCTCAAACTTTCCAGGTATTGTGCATGTATTTCAACTTTTTGCCAGGGAAGATGACACTTTTTTTCTTCATATGTACAACTAGTGACTACCTAAACATATTTCTGGGCAGGCATTATCATCATCTGCTTGCCATGAAAATAAGTAGTAAGTTATGAACCATCTGTAGTAAGTAGTATTCCTTTCTTTAGCAAGGATAGTGGACTGTTAACAGTGGAAAATAAATGTTATTCTCAGTGACTCAAACATTTGCATCTTATTCTTTAGACGTTAAGAAACTATAATGTGATGATGCATCTACTGTTTGTAAATTTTACTTCAGGTATTGAAATTACAAATCATGCAACTGCAACACTAGAAGGCAATCAGATTTTTAACAACCGGTTTGGAGGCTTATTTTTAGCATCTGGTGTTAATGTGACAATGAAAGGTATGTTGGAGTCTGCTCTGCCTATAAATACACAAAATATGCCATTAAAAGATAATGGCATCAGAAGCCATTGCTGTCCCTCTGCCAAGTTAACTACAACTCAGAACTACTTTGAAAGCTTTGACTTGTTCTAAACAGTTGGGAGTATCTTACACCAGGAAAATCCATTTTTCTATTTTAAGCTGACTTTTTTTACTTAATTGGTTAGCCTCCTCTGAAGGTCTTTAAAAAGTGACTATTGGAATAATCCTATCTCTATTTTTATCTTAAGTCTTTGTCCTCTAGAATTTTACTTATTTTGTTCTTTTATTGCAGATAACAAAATAATGAACAATCAAGACGCCATAGAAAAGGCTGTTAGTAGAGGCCAATGTTTATATAAAATATCAAGTTATACCAGCTATCCCATGCATGATTTCTACAGGTATATTTCTAAATTACTTGTGAGTCTTGAAAAAGGGGAGATAGTGATTTTCTAAACTGGCAAGACATAATATTTTTACATTTTTCTCTTAAATGTAAGCTAAAGGTAGAGAAAATTGGGTATTGGGAAAATTACCAAGGAAAGAGACTATAATTGAGAATTTTGTATTTGTCCATAGAAAGTTCTCTGTGATCAGTCTGCTTGAGACCACAAATATGGAAGAGCAACAGCAACTGTTGCTATCACTGGAAAGGTGGAACACAATGCTTTTGCTTGGGAGTTTCAAAGTAAAGCTCTAATTAAGTGTCCCATGTACCCCAGTCACTGAGTGGTTCTTGATGCCCTGCCCCCAGATTAAGTATTTTTTAAATGAAAGTTTCAGCTGCCTTTCTACAATTTGCAAATCGTTGTTTTTCTCAGAAGACACAGACCAGGAGATTGACTTGTTAAAGTCCTTTTGCAGAAATTAACCTGGCCTAGAGCTATAAAAATTTTGGTTTTGGTCCTCTTTTCTTGTAAGGTCATATGGTAAAATGCAGTATTTTGAGGAAGTAACATTTCAAGAAAAATAACGTAAGCTTTTGCTTTTTAGATGTCACACTTGTAACACCACAGATCGAAATGCCATATGTGTGAACTGCATTAAGAAGTGCCATCAGGGACATGATGTAGAATTTATTAGACATGATAGGTATGTAGCACACTTGCTTGCTCTGTTACCCACTTATGCCCCCCCTCACTTTCCTAATTTTTGGGTTTTCATTTTGCTTTAGGTTTTTCTGTGACTGTGGTGCTGGAACACTGTCTAATCCTTGTACATTAGCTGGTGAGCCTACACATGATACAGATACACTATATGACTCTGCTCCACCTATAGAATCTAATACATTGCAGCACAACTGAATTCCTTCCCTAAAGAGAAAGTCCTGCCATTCTAACATCATAACTTAAAACATTTTTTTCGGAAGAAGATTTAAAATATTTGCCCATGCTACAGGAAGAGACTGTATTAAAAATGGATACACGAGGTCAGTTGACACTATGAAGCTCAAGCTACCAAAAAGAAAGTGGCAATATATTGACTCAGGATCTCAAAGCTGGGTGTTTTAGCATTACTGTGTAAAGACTTTTGAAGGGACAGAAGTGAAGAAATAAGCTGCAATTTTGTACAGATACCAACTTCTGAAAAAAAGCTGGTGTTTTTACAACTAGCATTGAATGCAGTCCAATTTGCAGTAGTACTCTTCAATAGACAAGCAGCTTTGTTGCTGCCTTTATGGACATGGGTACCAATTGCTTTTGTAATATGGTAAAAATGTGAGCTAGCACTTCTGCGTTTCTTTTGATTTTTTTAACATGTATTCAGATTGAGAAATATGATTTTAATGCTTTAATCTCATGTAGTTTGTTTTTAATTTCAAGCAAATCTTCTTGTACTTGAATGTGCCCTGTTTTGTTAGCACACCTAGACTTGCTGTAACTGTACTCATGTCCCAGTATGTACGTTCTTTCTATGAAAGAGAAAACACTAATCTTAAATTATATCCAGCAATGTTTCTGGTATCCTTTAAGAAAAGTTAAGACTATTATTTCCTTCCCTTCCCTGTGCAGCATTCAAAATCACCCCTAGAAAAAGTGAGTGTTTTAATGAGACTTCCTAGGAAGGGATGCACTGTAAAACAAAAAGTATTCTTGTAACTCAGTTTTGTGAAAGGTAAAAACTACTATGTTTTAAAGTACACTTTAGAAAGTCTCTTCAAAACAGTCCTGTATTTGAACTCTGTTCATAGTTTTTTTTTGAACAGTTTAGACTAACTGCTGGAAATTAAAAACAATTTCCTGCATTAAGCTGAGACAAGTATATATACAGCCCTATACAGTTTCATAGCCCCCCCCCATTTATGTGTATTGGTGACAGTGGGTATAAACAGCCTGAAAGTGTATGCATGTACCATAACATCTAGACTTAATATATTGTGGAGTATTCAATAACCATTATGTAGAAGGTAGATAAGAATTAAAAGGGTTTAATTTCCTAGAAAGAAAATGGAAAAATGGTCATTTTTAAAAAATAAAGTTTATTAGATCATAATGTTGTCTGAATTTACCACCTTTGTCAAAAGCCAACTCAGAGCTTCCAATGTAGTCTAGAATTCCTTAATCAAAGTCAGCAGTTTAGGGACAGCTTCAGCATCTAGAGTCGACCTTTCACTAGCCAGGCAAACTTCCCTTTAAAAAAAAAAAAAAGGTATCAGTTCATGTTTTCCGTAGTGCATGAATAAACCGTAAAGGGGGATGGTGAAGGTCAGCTCCATAGCAAAATTATATGCAAGTATAATTACCGAAATAATCGCAGTGATTGAGTCATCTTCTCAAATTCTCTTGCTTTTCTATGTCCCTTTTGAATAACCTCCTCTGGAAGATTAGCAAGCCTTGCTGCATTAAAGCCGTAGCTTTTAGGACAAGCTCCCTTAATGAATTTATAGAGGAAAGTAATAGTCTCCTGGCTGGGATCCTCACATTCATTTTCTACCATGCATGCCTAAAAAGGAAAATATTTTATTATGCTGTGTTCAGGTGCTAGCAGTGGACATACCTGCCTTGATTCCCTCAAAAATCTAAACTTCTGAAAGCAGTTTATACATACCATGTGGCCCAGGCGCACTGCAACATTTTGAGAATAATCTTCTACTAATGAATGGTAGTGGGTAGAAAACAATGTACGACACTTTATGTTCTCAGCAAGTTCTTTAACAACTGCATTTGCTATTGCTGTTCCATCAAATGTTGCAGTACCTCTCCCTATGAAGGTAAAATGTGCATAAATTATATATCTGCCTTATACCACAAAAGAATGAAAAAGCGGAAAAGCCGGGGGGGGAATAAAATAGTAACAACAATTAGTGCATCCAAATAATAGACCCCGTTTAGCTAAACATCCACTTACCAGCCCTGGGAGTAGGGTACATTCTATTTTTAAAGATTTCCTTTTTAATTAATCTCTACAACCCAACATGGGGCTCCAACTTAAAACCCTGAGGTGAAGAGTCACACATTCTACCGACTAAGCCAGCCAGACACCCCTGCATTTCTTTTTCTTTTTTTAAAGAGTACTCTTCAGGTACCACTGATCTTCAGAAATGTCCTATTTGTTTCTCATTAAATGGTAACTATTTTAATAGGATGAAATTTAGAGCCTTGTAATCAAAGACTGTTTTTAATATTATCTGTTATCTTCCAGTATGGGTCTGAATGGCACTAGAGGTCGGTCTATGGCACTAGAGGTAAATGCTTTCAGACTTTTTAAAAAGAAAGGGCCAATCATCTTCAAGAAAAATTAGAGTTTAAAAAAATTTTTTTAATTTTAAAAATAGCCTTCAAATGGAAATTGGAATGTCTTACCCAATTCATCCACAAGGACCAGAGAATGTGCTGTTGCATGTGTAAGTATGCTGGCAGTTTCACTCAATTCAACAAAGAACGTACTTTCACCTAAAAAAAAAAAAAACACACAGACACACACAACATACTACTAAATAGAACTAGAATACTGAATTAGTGTGTTCATCTTTTTGGTTCATATCATGAGCTACCCAGTACTAAAGGTTACATCTCATTAAGAGATAATGTAGTTCTTGCTTGAAGAAAGAATATTTTCAAATGCCTGAAAAGTACTCCACTCTGCGTAACAGGAAAAATCAAACATCAAATTTAATGGCTGGTACACATTTCAAGGCAGACGTATTTATCATACAAAATGTAGAAATGAACAGGCCAATAATAAAAGCCTTAGGTGAAAAAAGAAAACTCACCTGACATTATTCTGTCGGAGGCACCAAGTCTAGTAAATACTCTATCAATTGGTGTGAGCCTACATACTTCAGCAGGTATGTAACAACCCGTTTGGGCCATTACAGCTAATAGGCCAGCCTGTGAAGGAAGGAGGAAAAGGTCTTTACTAATTGGTATTAAAGAAAAACATAGATACACATCATTTATGTAGTAGTCAGGCACTCTTAAAAACCGTTCACAATCCAAAGCAGGTAAAGTGAAGCCTAGAAAAGCAAGAGGCTTAGAACCTAACTGGCCTTAAAACCACAAAGCCTGTGAGATTTTAACCCACTGCATTAGTGGTCTCACCATTGGCTGACTACACAGTAGAATCACTTGGGAGCTCTTTAAAATTACTGATGCCTAGAACCAGTTCCAGACCAAACGTATCAATCTGGGACAGTGGAACCCTATCTGTACTTTCTTTGTCAAGCTCTCCCAAGTGATACAAAAAAATGAAAATGGGATTGAAGACCACTGGACTATACTATACTATACTGCCTCTTGTTAGTTAGCGAATTTGGTGAACCTAAGTATAAATACAGGAGAGCAGGGGGGTTGGCAAATATTTTTAGTCAAGGGCCGTCTCTGTCACATTTTTTTTTCCTTTCTAACCCTTTAAAACATGTAAATCATTTTTAGCTTAGTGGCTGGCCAACCCCTGGTATAAAAAGACAGATATATTTATTGTCTTTCCTGAAAGCAGTTTCCAAAGGTTATTAGAGGTCATGAATTCTATTTGCTCTCCTACTTGAACAAGTCTGTCATGGTTCTTTTATAAGGATTCCCACAAATGAGTCTGAGTAACACACCTCCAACATTTTCATTCATTATGGATACATCTACCTTCAGAGGAAAGGAATCCAATCAAGTCAGAGTTTGTAAAGAAGTCATAAGCTGAAATCTCTCAGATTTTTAATGTATGCTCCCCATTAACATGAGCAGATACTTGATAAAGGTAAATACAATTCTCAACTTTACAATACAAAGCATTTTTCCTTTGCTTCCTAGTATGCTGGTGACTGAATTCTATATAATCTATGTGCTATTTGGAAAAGGGTGGCCTGAATATGTAATATATTCCCAAAGTATACAAATGACTTTGTGTACCTTAAGGTTCAGTTTACCTGTCTCATGAGCGTAGACTTGCCCCCCATATTAGGTCCAGTAACAAGCACACAATAAGCTTTGCCATTTTCCTCCTCTTCCTCACAGCCTATTAGAATGTCATTAGGTATAAAGTCATCTCCAAAAAAAGTCTTCGTGATGCAGGGATGACGTGATCCTCTAAGGTCTAAGAAAGGAGGAGTGCCTTCTTCTGGCAACAGAATTACTGGACGACACATAGGGCCATCACCCCCTCGACTGTAGTTAGCCAGGCACAGTAAGACATCTGTTAAAGAGAGTGTAAAAGTGAGGCTTCATTTTTGAAGCTGCTTAAGAAGCACAAAGATCCAACTAATATAAAAAGTCTTTCAAAAACACTTTTCCGGGGCGCCTGGGTGGCTCAGTGGGTTAGGCCGCTGCCTTCGGCTCGGGTCGTGGTCTCGGGGTCCTGGGATCAAGTCCCGCATCGGGCTCTCTGCTCAGCAGGGAGCCTGCTTCCCTCCCTCTTTCTGCCTGCCTCTCTACTTGTGATCTCTTTCTGTCAAATAAATAAATAAAATCTTAAAAAAAAAAGAAAAAAAAAAAAACACTTTTCCAGCGGAGGACAGTATGTTCTAGTTGCTTTTTATACATTTTTTTCCCTAACAGGCACTCTAGAACACATAAAATGCTTTAATGCGTTCATTAACAGAAAATGAGCCACCAGCCTAAATGTTTCTATGTATCTTCATGGGAGCACTTGTAGTGAAATGAGAACTCATTTTCATCCCAAAATCTCTCCCCTCAAAACAAGACCCCCTAACATCTGGACCAGAGGAATGCCAAGGGTAAGCTAAGAGATACTGGGGAAATGCTAGACTGACTGCTTTTACTTGACCTAATCCTGGAGCTAACACTTCTTAGAAGTGGAATATTAACACAACAGGCACACTGATACAAAAGCATCTTTAGAGGAAAATAAATTCACCAATTTTGAACACCTGTCCTGAGGGACACTTTACCCACCAAAGTGCTCAAAGCTGTATTGGTTTAAGAAATGAATGTGGTACAAACCAAAGGATACTATTCAATTCTGGACAGTTGTATTCAGATAAAAAAAGTTCTTTTACAAATTTAGGTAGTTACTGTATATTTTTTTTTTAAGATTTTATTTATTTAACAGAGAGATCACAAGTAGGCAGAGAGGAAAGGAAGCAGGCTCCCTGCTGAGCAGAGAGCCCGATGTGGGGGCTCGATTCCAGGACCCTGAGACCATGACCTGAGCCAAAGGCAGAGGCTTAATCCACTGAGCCACCCAGGCACCCCTAGTTACTGTATTTTTAAAACACAGGGGAAAAAAAAACCTAAATTGTGAAACACCAAAGGCTCCAAGTATGTTGGAAATTTAAGGGAAAAAGTATTTATGAAATTGAAAAGGTTACCAAATTATAAATATATAAATCAGGGCTCTTAGAAATCAGCTGTAAGAAAGAAAATGTGATGATCTGGGCTAAGAGAAGATTAAAATCTTGAAATATATGCATGTAAAGAGATCAACTGAAAATACAAGAAGTGGTGATGGGCCAAGATATAGTTTAACTTATTCTAACAAAAATGAGAAGCTTAAAAAAAACCCAGGGGCACCTGGGTGGCTCAGTAGTTAAGCTTCCGCCTTTGGCTCAGGTCATGATCCGGAGCCCCACATCCGGAGCCCCACATCCGGTTCCCTGCTTGGCAGGGAGCCTGCTTCTCGCTCTCCCTGTGCTGTCAAATAAATAAAATCTTTAAAAAAACAAAAAATCAGGATCATGATACTAAGGGTACTAAAATCTGGGGTGCCAGAGTGGCTCAGTCAGTGGAGCATCCAGAACACAGGACTTCTCTCCGCTTAGGTCCTAATCTCAGGGCCCTGAGTTCAAGCCCTGAATTAAAAACAAAACAAAATCCCCTGCTTTTTAAAAAACAAAAAACTAGGGGCGCCTGGGTGGCTCAGTAGGTTAAAGCCTCTGCCTTCGGCTCAGGTCATGATCTCAGGGTCCTGGGATCAAGCCCTGCATCAGACTCTCTGCTTGGCAGGGAGCCTGCTTCCTCCTCCCTCTCTCTCTGCCTACTTGTGATCTCTGTCAAATAAAATAAAACAAAAAACTAAAAACCTATCAATCTTTCAATTATCCAAGACTGAATAAGACCAAAAAGTGAACTTGAATTGCTACAGGCAAACTAAGCCATTTTGTCTAGTGAGGGCACAAGTATATACACATCAAAATACATACCTTGTTACCTGTATTCAGAAATATACCTCAATGGCAAATGT